TGTTTATGGTTCGTGTTTCATGATCAGAGAATGAGGAGTTCGAAACCAGCAGATGTACTCATGTTGTGTCCATAGGCAAGCCACTTCACCCCGACTTGCCTCTCTCCACCCAGTAGTAGGTACAGGTAATATGCTGAACAATTATCCCAGGGAAATATAAATATCCTCAGTACCTCACGCCAATGAAACAGATATGGAATCCGACTTAAAACCTGAAGCGAGCTGTTTGAAAGTTAAAGGTGTCTGGCAAAAGAATCATAACACCCACACGATAAAGTTTGAAAAAGTATTTAAAAATCTTACCTGAAGCTCACAGAACAGGTGCATGTGGAAGAACCAATCAACAGGGCACACGATCGAGAGTGATGCCGTTCAATCAAGCAATGCTAATCCAAAACTTGCAATGCTAACCAAAGTCGAAACACGTCTTTCGGATCCCCTTCCCATAAACCTTACACCCCTCTCAGTGTACAAGTTGAGAATGGGGAAAAATACAATCGTCAGTAGTTATTAAACGTGCTTTTAAGCAGACTTGTGACAGCCTTGAACGCCATAAGTTACCCGTTCAGGTCAGCTGAACTCTTTGACGGTCAGTACCGCTGAATTGTATGCTGAATTGTACGCTGAAAGTCAGTTTCGTTGACTCAGAGTTACAAAAGAGGAGAATTGAAAAAAAATACGTACCAACAAAAGTAAATAAGTTATTATGGCATTATGACTTTATCAGCCCAGACACGTTCATTTTTCTTCTTCTCATTGAGGTTTTAACCAAGTTCAACGTGCCAATGGCAGAGCCAAATCTGGCACCAGAATTTTGGCTCTCCAGAAAAAGGCCCCCAGCGCAAATGTCAAACCCAAGGTCTTGGTCACCAACTTTCCTCCCAGTCTCCCTTTCCTTCAGAAAGTCACCAATGACAACCAACACATTCTCCACACTTCATATCGCCATGCCCGTGCTATCCCTGGCAGCCCAGTACTAGCTTATAGGCGCCCCCGTAATCTACGAGACCTGATTGTTAGAAACGGAGTCTTAACCTTGGATGCATCCCCTCCCTACCAATATGAAACTTTTGAGTTCAGTTTCAGATGTGTCGTTTGCCAGATCCACATGGTTCTTCTTCTAGAGCCCTTCTTCTTGCCTATTCACAACATTAATGGGAAAATTCCCTGCATTCAATCTAATGTCATATACCTCATTCCAGCAGAGTTTGTGGGGTCTGTGTCGGGGAGACAAGAACACACTCAAGAAGTGTGTCATTAGTGGTCATCGATCGATTGTAAACACTAAGAGACTGGATACCTTTTCAGCCTGACAAACCATTGTATTTCTGATATGATTGCACAGGCCATAGAATCACTTGACTATCGGCAAGGACTCGGTCAATTGCAAGGACTCAGTCAAAGCAGCATTGTGTTATCCATATACACCATTAATCACGTGTAAAGGACCGATGGATGCTTTGTTGGGTGTTTTATTAAGTCAGTAGGGCCTAACCGTTGAGAGGGCAATTTGGATGGGTTAAAAAAAGCATGCACCCTGAAAATAAATATTGTGCTCTTAGACTTTTGACTTAATCAGCTTCGTAGGATCCCCTGACTACACACACAGTATTTAGTGGGGCAGATAGGGGAAATATTTGGGAGAATTGTGCCTTTCATGATACAAGCAGGGCATTTTAATTGGCGCACAATCAGAGTTTGTCATGAAAAAGATATTTGGTTATAGGGTTATCGCGAATTTGTCCTGTTAGCATATTTTGAAAAGATGACCTCTAATTTTGAAAAGATGACATCTGAGACGGCCGATACGCATACAGTTTGAAACTGGCTGACATTGCTTGTGATTGTACCTGTAGCCATCTTTCTCAGTTAGGACATACTCTGATTGTGTGTCAAATGCCATGCTTGATTCATCTTGCTACAATTCCTGTACCTATCTGCCGTGCTATTGAATAAGTTGCTAAACGATGAATCATGCTCCCAGGCCACTCGGAAGCACACAAACACACACTAACAATGTTGCTGTCGAATAGTTTCACCCCAACCTGTACATATAGACATTATGCATAGCTGCCATCGAAGTGGGTAGTGCCTTTGTTTTGCAGCGATATACATGAGCGAACCATTCGTGCAATCAATGTTACTTGATTAAAATAACACAAGCTGCCCTCTAAGACGGCCAGTAAGCACGTGGTCTATCATTATCAGCTCGCCAAAGGCTCCAGTCTCATTTACAGGCTAGACTTGGTGCCAAGTCGGTTATTGTTCACGTACGTACGTTACCAGTTACTGGTTCCACGCACGCAAAATGTCACTGCAATGTATGCGCGTAGCCTGGTTCCCAGACCAAATGATGCTGACTATTGATGTTCAATAACCGACTTGGCGAAAACGTTTTTTATTTTGTACACAACATATGGGAGTATTTTGAATCGCTAGCGAATTCTATGCGAGCACTCTGTTTGGTTCCGATTCCAGCATGCATTCTAGGCCGCTACGAAAGGTCATTCTCATTACTTCGAGGGTCTGTGCTTTGTGTTATTCCAAAATTCATTATAGGGCATACACGACTCAAATTAACCCCTTAAGCACGGGTTATAATGGGGACATTCCTCCACACATAGAGCAAGTGGCCCGCATGACTGCACAGCCTTTGTGTGGTAGCGGGACTGCACAAAAGCAGCAGCTGTGGAACTACCCACTAGCGGCGTGTGCCACGGCATACCACAGCTGGCAACTGCATTCCAATGAGGATTAGCGGCCGCGGCCATGACCGCTTCCCGGGCCCATGGGGTTAATCAAGTATATCACAATGATACGTTTTATTTCTATACACAATTGACCAAGCTGAGTGATTCGGTCGTTTAAACGTTGCAAACATGTCCCAACGTATTGAAAAGAACTCCCCATGTAACGGAATGAACAAGTCCTCATTTCATTGCGGTGCGCCATTGGCTCTCACCGCTAAAATGCACTGCATAATGTATTGCGCTGCACGCATATATGAATAACGTAACATTCAAGTCGTTAGATATGTCGCAACCCGGCCTATTACGTACTTGTCTTATACCAGCCGCGCCGATGGAGTTCGAGTGAAGTTCACAGACAAAATACGACTATCTGACGACTTGTCATCAAGTATATTTACAGGCTGGCCCTAGTTGTACTTTCTCCTTATTTGGTCACCACGAGACTCTGTGTGGATGATGGGGTCGATATCTTGTATGATGCGCAAAGGCGGTTTGTTGTTTGACACACTGAACTGGCTTGACATGTGGTCGCACTTGGATGGTTCCGGCTCAGGGCACAGAGTGTGCGTTGTGATCGAGTGGGAATCGGTTCGTCGAGAAGTAGGGCTATAATTAAGCAGATGTTGTGGTGAAACTCTTCGAAACAACATTATTGTTGCGTGTTTGTGTGCTTCCAAGAACCATATGCATGGAGATTCATCGCTTTGTAACTGATCCATATTAGGTCTGTAATCAGGAGATACTACATAGGCTGATAAGGTCAAAAATTCTAAGAGCATAATATTAATCACTTGGGATTCTTGGTGCTTGCTTTTTTTCACCCATCCAAGGTCTTGGAAGCACTTGTACCTCTAAGGCAAGAAGAGGGAATTAAAAAGGAGTCAGACTCTAGGATGTAGATCTGGCAAACGACACATCTTTAAAATGTTCCATGCTGCTAGGGAGGGGACGCATCCAAGATTGTGATCTGCTCGAACAATCAGGACTCTTAGATTGAGGGGCGCATATAAGCCAACACTGGGCTGTCGGGGTTGGCGCAGGCATGGTGGCAGGCATGGTGATCTGAAATATGAAGAATGTGCTGGTTGTCATTAGTGACTTTTCGAAGGAGAGGGGGACTGGGGGAGAGGCGGTGATAATTAAGTGCCACATTTCATGCTGACAGACTTGGGTCCGCCAATGGTACGTTGAACTTTGTTAAAACTTCAACGAGGAGTCTCTACGTAGGTGTACCTAGGCTGATAAGGTCAACATTCTAAGAGCACAATATTATTTTTTTCGCCTTTGTTGGTGGTATCTATTTGGGCACGTCAAAAATAGCCCTCCTTTCTCAACGATACTGACCTCATACATCAAGCGGTACCGACTTTCACTGAGTTCAGCGGACCTTTTAAAGGTGATTTATGGTGTTCATCGCCACCACAATGCTGCTTTAAAAAACACGTTTGATAACAATGACTGAATTGCATTTTGCCCATTCACAGCTTGTACACTGAGAGGGGAGTAAGGTTGGCAAGGGAAAGACGTGTTTCAACCTGGGATCAGCAGTGCGCGTTTCTCCGTGATTAAATAACATCACTCTCGATTTGGTCCCCTGTTAATCGGAGCCTAGTCTGTCACCAGAAACGTGGCTCTCGAGAAAAAGACCCCAGCGCCAATATCAAACCAAGGCTCCCTTGGTCACCTTTTTTCTCCCAAGTCGCCCTCTCTGACGAAATTTATAATAACAACACATTATCCACACTTCATATCGCCATGCCTGCACCACCATGCATCCCTGGTAGCCCAGTGTTGGGTTTATATAGCGGCCCCTAATCTACGAGACTTGAATGTTTGAGCCGAAGATTGTGACAAAGATTATAATGTTAAAATAGATATAAAAAGTCGTTTAAATCTAAAAATATGTTATAAAACGCGTGTAATAATATGCACTTTTGAAATACGTATTGACACATCAACCCTACACACGTCGAATTATGCAGTTATTTTGTTAATTGAAGGGATGTTAAGTCTGATAAAAATTAGAAATCGAAAGGAAAATATACCCAAAAAAAAAAAAACTGAGTATACAACAAAACATATTTTACATGCAGTATTCAAAAATGTAATTTATGTCGCGATACTTCATCAACTCTGCGTAACATAATGCAGTCCAAATGTTAATTAAAAGACATTGTGTCGGACAAAATTGTATACATCGTTAGAAGAAAAAAAGTAGATGAAAAGAAAAAAAAAAGTATATATTTTTTTAAAATATATTTCACATGCCGTATTCAAAAACATTAGTGCCTATATGCATCAATTACTCCGAGTAACACAATGAATTTCAAAAGTTAAAGTGATATTATGCCGGATAAATTAACGAAATTAACAGATGGAAGACAATCGCATGACACGATTTCCATTAGTAAAAACTCTTGTTTTCTAAGGACATGACACAGACTGAAACAGAATATTGCAAGGAGCATGTTATCCATAATTGCTTACTCCTCATGGTCGGTAAGTTTATGTTTCCGTCGGATGGTTAACTGATTCTGCATTTCTAAAAATCGGTGCGATTTTGTAGAGACCATAACTTAATAAAACATGCCGTAAAACCCTCTTTTAAGTGAAAACCCGAATAGAGGGCTTATATTCGGGTTTTTCCCTGAGCATGTGCCAGGATTTCAGCTCGCGTCTTACAGACATTGTTCTTAAAAGACATTCACCCCGTATAGACAAATGTATACATTCTTAAATCATCATAATACGTGTTTACAAAATATTATATCACGGTAAGATTGGGAAGTGAATCTTAAGTACGTATGGTATGCAAAGTGGTTAGCCAAGGGTAATAAGTATCAACATAGCATTTTATACATACGAATGTATGTATAATTTACCTTCATACCTTCATGGGCAAGGCATTATTCTGCCCGCAAGAGCTTGCCCGGGGTTTTCCCATTTGATACCCTTTTGGCAAGCCCGTCTAAATCCCCCTACTGGCCAACCCATTTGGGCCCCATAACTTGAAAAGTCAGGGTCGGTTGGATCAAAGCTGTTATTGGCTTTTGATACCAACAAAAAAAGGTAATTGTAGGTGTCTTCACTTTTGAAATGAGTGGGTTAGCGCACGCACCCTTGGTATGTAGGTCGGGTAACAAGTAGTTGGATAGAATCGATTTGGAAAGAAGAGCGATTTCTAGCCCAAGGCAAAACATTCATTGCTGAGTGCACTCACTGGCCAAACGCGGGGCTGAACGACGGGCCATTGTGTAATTGTTACGTTCAGCTCGCTTTAGCAATAGCAGTATTTTCTTTTTAAAATCTGTATTCAAGGTTTCTTCACTTTTGAAATGAGTGGGTTAACGCACGCACCCTTGGTATGTAGGTCGGGTAACAAGTAATTGGATAGAATCGAGGCCTGTGAGCCGTGAAAGCTACCTCGAAATGCTAAATAGTTTCTGGATAGTGATGATAAATCCAGTAGGTCTTACGATTTCTTCATCCCAATGTGAGTCTGTGAACTAGTCGTACTGCACAAACCTGTTTTGCTTTCTTAAGTCTCAGACTGGGTGGGAACAACATTGTCAAATGGGTAAACTCTGTGGTCTGGTCTGGTTCCCCTTTTTTTGAATATTATATACTAATTTTGTAGAGTTACATTTAAATAATGAACAAGTTCAAACCAAGAACATGTGACATGTTGCAAATTCCATGTACATTGTATAATCAATGGTATATATAGATGCTGCTGCATGCTATTGAGTTTTCTAGAAAAGAATACCCAAACTATACTCATATATAGATAAGTACATGTAAACCAAACCTAGAAAATTATAGTTGTGTCCTCTGCGAAATACAAGATTATAGAGTAATTTTCTTAATAAACCACCTTATTGCTTTATACATGATTAAAGATTACATCAGCAATACACCTTATCAAAAGAATTATTACTAGTTTTTACATGCACAAAATCGGCTACAGATCAGGTGTAAAATAAGGAAGGCAGGTAAAGAGGTATAAGGATTTGATGTAATATGAAACTGAATTTCGCAACTGTATAGAGATTTTACCCAACAAAGCCTTGAATTTGTGCCATGGCTTTAATGAAGTGATGATGATGACAATGGTGGCGGTTTGGTGGCGGTGGTGACAAGCAGATGTATGGTTCTGACCACACACATACAATAGTATTGATCAAAAATGGAAGTGCTGAAGAAAACAGAAGGATTGCAAGATGAAAAAAAAGTCAATAAAGAGGAACAAAATTTTAAGTTAAACTCTACCAAACCAAACCGTTCATTATGTTCTTCACCATGGTCATTATTGATTAAAATCTTGAACATAAGTTTAGCAAGGTATACACAATTGTAAAGTCTGGCTGGAAGTATCCCGTCCTTTAATGGGGTGGCTGAGAAGAAGTAGCTCAGTTTTCGTCAATTTCACGTCGAATGACTGTCTCGTAATGGGCTCTATCCACCTCCATATAAGTCTGCAGAGACCAGCATTAAAAAAAAAATAGATACACAGGATGAAAATGTATTATTTTCTGACAATCGCTTTGCACATGATGAGTTTGTAAATAACATGTGAGATAAGATTCGATAAAAGTGAAGATATACATTGAATTTCCCTATCACACAATCTTTACGAAACTCTCCCTGTGCTGATGTAAAGTATTGGCTTGAAATGCATGCCAACACGACACAGAAGAATTGTTACACACCTGCATCGGCGGCGGAACACTTTTAAAAGTGGGGGGCAAGGTCCAGTTACTGTTCCCGGAGCAGGATTAAAGCAAAATCAAAGTAAATGGGAAAAGTGTGAAGTTGGTCCGAAACGAAAGTGTGACCTACGTAATGTCTGCTAACCTATGCATGTGGACTATTCCTACCGGTATATCCCTATTTTTCGTATCATTTGTCTAATTTTGTGTCGCCATACTCACTTAGGTATAAGGCCTATTGTCAAATTTCAACCCCAACAAGGAGTGTTAATCGCTTTTCAATATTGGGGGAACGTACCTTGATCAAAACTGATGCGAGCGTGAAACGCGAAGCCCTTGAGGCGTGGAGTTCGGGGCCCGCTTAAGGGCCCCGGAAACAAAATGGATTCTAGATGCTCTGTGGTGCGATCTGAGGCAATTTCTGACCACTTTAACCAATATTTTCTGAGCAAAAGATACATTGTAGTACATAATAATATTAATAGGGCCCTGTAAATGAGACACGTGTTCAAAAATCTTTTTTACCTCTTGTATCATTTTAATTAACCTCGATTTTTAAAATCGCTCCTGGTAAAAGGTGGGGGGGGGGCAAAATAGCTACCTATTCAAAAGTGGGGGGGGGGGGGGGGCAACTGCCTCCTCTTCCCCCCGGTTCCGCCGCCGGTGTATACCTGCAAACTCAGTCTTTTATAAGTACTCATGCATGTAGCTGACAATCTGGACAAAGCTGTCCCTCTAAGATTGTCAAAAACAATCAAATGACTGTCTCAGTATTTGTAACGAATTATATGCCTATAAACGCCAGATAATAATTTTGAACTTTATTTTACGTGTCAACACAATGATTCGAGGTAAAGTGATAGACATGGACGCTTTGAATACCTCGTAATGGGATCTTTCCACCTCCACGACCAAAGGTGAGGATGACCGGGATGGTGAGAGAAAAGGGTGACAAACGGTAAGGGTGACCGGGATGATAAGGAGAAAGGGGGACAAGGGTTAGGATGACTGGGATGGTGAAGAAAAGGCAGACGAAGGTTTAAGATGACCGGGATGGTGAGCAGAAGGAGGAACAAAGGATAATGATGACAGGGATGGTGGGGAGAAAGGGTGACAAAGGGTGACAAAGGGTAAGGATGACAGGGATGGTGAGGAGAAGGGGGACAAACGATTAGGATGACCGGGATGGTAAGTAGAAGGGGGACAAAGGATTAGGATGACCAGGATGGTGAGGAGAAAGGGGGACAAAGGATTAGGATGACCAGGATGGTGAGAAGAAAGTATGACAAAGGGTTACGATGACCGGGATGGTGGGGAGAGAGGGGGACAAATGATTAGGATGACTGGGATGGTGAGAAGAAAAGGGGACAAAGGGTTAGGATGACCGAGATGGTGAGGAGAAGAATGACAAAGGATTAGGATAATAATAAGAAGAACATTTGTAAAGCGCCGGTGTCGCGCTGAAAATGCCACTTGGAAGTCCAGAGGAACATCCAGGTAAATAAGGAAGCAATAGGCCACTCTCAAATTACAAGGAACAGCTGACCCGAAAACTTCACCTGCAGCCACTACTCGAACATGCTGACAGATTCTGTACTTTGTGTGCAGATCGATGTTGCCCAAGTTACTGGCCGGTGTATACGATAATTCAGGGAGTTGACTGAGTCTCTCTGATGGTTCAAACACTCGGAGAGCAAATTTGCATGAAAGCCCACTAAATTCATAATAACAGGTAAATAATGTGTAATTAAAGAGACAACTTACGGAACCAAACTGCGAGGAAATTAAGGCACTTGTATCTGTAATTACCTAAATCTCAGCACAAGAAGCAGCTATTGAAAAAGACAGACCCTATGCTCGGCTGCCTTTCTTCTCATGATACGGTATTGCATGAACATCCATGTATATCAAATGGGCAACTGTGATCAGGATAAACATCTCAACAATAGTTACTACACAGAGTACATTCTCCTTTGCCTTGTACTCACGTGGCTTAATTTGTTGGCATCCATCTGACTCAGGCTGGAAACCAAGTGAGTGAAGGTAGGTCTTTTGTTTGGATCTTCATCCCAGCACAGGCACATCAAGCCATAACTAGACAATTAGACATGCAAGGTATCATTACACGAATGTGTGGTAGGATAACGTTTATTTTATCAGGCCTGTATAACCTGCTAACAAACCAAGCGTGACTGAATACGTACTAGTTAATTTTCTGTATTTGTATATAAATGTGCACAATCATGTAAGATATATGTCACACAGGCCCTATACCCATTTCTCGGGCTCTCAGAGGCCTGTTTAACCTTGGCTTTGGGATTCGTTATGGACATCATTGTGTTATAACGATTGGCTTGAGATGAAATTAATCGCCCTGTCAACAATACTAGTTTCAAGCTCAAGTGACGGATGATTGCAGTCGTCTGATGACTGATTTCACACCCCAAAATGACAGTGTGTAGCTGGGTACCCTATTCAAACAAGTACTGCAAAGTGATGTACGACCGTGAAACCGTTTGTGTAGAAGTGCACACAAAGTACCCTGTAACCTGGGTCCTTTGTAATGTGCCATTAAAGTATCCTTATCCTTAATGACATCAAACAATGTTTGTGTTTGTTGGAAGGGTTATTCTCGGCAGATGACTGCATTAAGGATTGCATCCGATTATAATACCATATATGTCAAATTTAACAGGGCAGGGAAATAAGTGGACTCTAAATTTATAGAATGACCCAATTATGCAAGCGTTATTCACATTTGCTTTCACTTAGCAATTTGTCACACTACGGTAAGTGCTTATAGTACTTAATCAATCGCATTTCAGCCATTTAAAATGTTGCCCCAGTAGCTTCCTAACGTTAAAATTGCTTTGCGTTTGCACCTAAATGACGTTTTTGGTCTTCATACTAAAACAATAAGGTCGCATAAATTGTACCCCTCAGTTGCATGGTCATGATATTTGTAATAAACCTTACATGTCTTGATGACAGTTGCCTGGTTTGGGCATGCGATATCCTTCTCTGAGCTTACTCGTCAATGTTCTTGCATTTGGGATGTCAGGATAAGGTCTACCTCCTTTATTACATTAAGAACAAAACGAAACAAAAACTCATTTGAAAATTTGGTAGCTTACAAATTAAGCCTTAGCAAATCTGAGAATCTGCACAATCACTCATTTCTCAAACATGAGCTCAAACACATCTGGCACAAAGGTGTTTATGCGAAAATTCGCAATTATATTCCTAAAATTGAAATGTTTTAACTTTAGTTAGTTTTCAACTTATGTGTGAATGGTTTCAATGGAAGTTCGCTTAAACAGGCCTGGTGAATAAGAGGTAAATAATTTTGTGTTTTATTAAAAAATCTAAAAACCATTGAACAATCAGGATCATATAAATAAACAAAAAAAGTTTGATAGTATCTTCTTGAGATCAAGAATAAACCCATTTGATAAGTTATGGACTTTATCAAAGCAATTAAAAAGTCAAGATATAACACAAGATATAGATGTATTTCTTACCAAGTGTTGCTATCTCCCAGAGAACAATTCCGAACGACCACCTAAAGTCACAATGATCAATACAAGTTTTAAACTCTGAATTTTCATAACTAACTTATTACTTATATATTGTTCCCTAGATTTAAATAAAAACTAAATCAACAGTGATCTGAGACAGCTAGTCTTCTTAAGGTAAATGTGGTATCGATCACATACTACAATCTTATGTCCATCACACACTGCTTCATAGCACGAGGATAAAAAAAGAGTAATGTGCTTAGAGAAACAAATATCTAAAGCCTATTGTAAAAGTAGCAAATCCCCTAAATGTTACAATGTATGTAGTTGATAACTTACACATCACTCTGGGTGGTGTATGTCTTGTGCATTAAAGATTCAATTGCAAGCCAGCGAGTGGGAACACGTCTCTGTTGATTCCAAAATTGAAAGAAAAAAAATATTAAGAAAATCGTTTTAAAAAAAATGAAAATCTTTTTGTTACGAAAAAGTGTTGATAGATTGTTAGTTTGTTATTATCAATGTCGAGTCAAGTGCAAATTTTACTAAAATATGACATCCAATCCATACTAAAGTAAACACACCCTGGAACGATAATTATAAGTTCTTGCAGTCCCTCTATCGGACCGACTCCTTGATAAAAACTTGACGCTGAGCCGCCATTTTAATCTACACATACCTGACCCTTGCCTGGATTGTTTTCCTACCGCCATGTAATTTGAGCTACCCTGCCATTAAACCCCAACTAACCACAGTCCATTCATTAATGGTATGATTCAGACCCCAAATAGCCATTAAAGCCACAGAATTGCCACGTGAAGATCAAGATTCTTTAATTTTGTCAGCAGGGGCGATCCATTGCAATCCATAATGAACAGGGGCAATAGTGTACAAGCCTATGTAAATGTGCACAAAGCCAGTTGGTTTTCTGCCAATGTTGAGAAAGTCACTATGACCTGACAGGTGACACGCCCTCTGGTGGATGTACCAGGGTCCAAACTAGGTTATAGTAATAGATGACCTGGGGCATGCCTACCATGTGGCTGGGACAATATAAAACATAGAAATGTTGGTTGCCTTTATTCCCCGGTGGCTCCATCACCAAGTTCCACATTCTTGCTATTCACATCATGCAATCGTGTTTTAGATATAAGTCGAAAGTATGGCGTTAGAACAATCCATGTACTTCAAACTTACTGTGGATGTTTGCACATAGATATCCTCTCCTCTGGAGAGTCCAAAGCCAGACACTTTGGCAATTAAATCCTCTCCAAGGTGGATATTTCTGGCAGCTAGATCTCTGTGTACCACCTATTAAAAAGGAAATAGATCATAGGTTCACGAGTTCGTAACATTAAATACAAGTTACAGCACTTTTGTAAAAAAAAAGCCTTGTTAAAACAACGCGAAAAAAAAAATCACTTTTAAAAGGAGGAGGACACAATTTGTTTTTATTCATGTTAAATCTTAGAGGGAGACATCGTCGCTATTTGGATAACAAGGAAATGCAAAAGTACCACCCCATCCTCTTTTCGACTGAAATACTTTAACAATACAAAAGAAATTTCCACGAACAGCCAAGTTCATTATACCCTGGTTTTCCAGTGATCCACCTATTCCTTAACTGATCACTGGGGATACACATACCCCTAAATTGGAAAGATGCTTCATTCCCCTGGCAACGTCAAGAGCAAACTTCAAAAGTTGTTTTGAAGTCAAAATGTCCGCTGTGTTGGAGTATACAAATCTCGTGAGGTAGCTATGAAGGTCACCATTGGGTAGAAACTCCAAAGCAACATACAGAACATCTTATAGATAAAGGGGAAAACATGTCTTGTTTCAAAACTAATCCACAGTACAGGTTTGGGATTTTGAACAAAATATGGGAATGAATTTAGAACTCATGATTTTGGTATCCATAGAGTTTAAGTATTAGCCACCAGGAGAATGGTGGACAATTTAACGAAATGGTTTCTGTTTTAAACCTTTTGAAACACGAACGATGTTAAAGACATATTTAGACACCTTTTTGGAATCAAAAATATTGCAGCGACGTAGCTTTCGATGTCATCACGACACGTAAGATGTTGTTTGTGTATGAAGGTGGCACTGGCATAGACGTACACAAATTTATGTTTCAACTAGTACAAAGTGTGAGAATTAGAACTTGGCACGAATATGAACTAATTGAAAAATGAAGGAAACTGGAGGAAATGAACAGGATTTACTTCATGGACTCTTTTAGATTCACTACATGTAGCAACAGTTTAATTTTACGCTTCACCATTCACTTGTTTCCCTTTGAACTTGATTTCATTTGTCGAGCCTATTTAAGAATCTATGAAAAGGCCAGTGTTGACTGAAAGTTTCATGGGGCTATGTTTTCGACAGAATGTGACTTCTTTAAGTTGGACATTGATTATGTGTGCAATGAATTCGGCCTTAGTATAGGCTTTACCAATTGATTTAATGTACCTGCACTTTGTGGTGCAAGAAGTTGTTGTTGGCTATGTGACCCGTTTGCCCAAACATTAGTATCTGGCATGTTCAAAAATAAAACTGCTAGTTCTTTCATTACTTGTCAAGTCATTTTGCTTTTCCTTTTCAAATTGCGACTCCGGCCGGTATGGTCAAGGCCTATTGCATTTGTTCAGAATTTGAGACTTGAAAATAATTATTTGTCATTTCCATACCCGGAGAGTTAATATATCGAGTCAAATGACTTGAATTATAACACAATTTAACTTCAAGGAACAAAAGGCAAAGACGTTCTAGCAAAAATATCAACTTGTTGCCTCGCCCAATGTAAAAAAGGTTATTGGGATGTGGTGTTGATGCACAGTTTACATACCCTGATGCTGGCAAGCACCTAGCAATGACACAACATTCTGGTGGTAGCCAATGATTGACATGGTGCGCAATTCATCCATAAAGTCCTTCTGGTCCCTGTCTGATGCCTGGCCTGTAGTAAAAGGAGATAGCTTGAATGATAAAGGAATCATAGCCGTTCCAACATTAAAGTTCTTTGAAACGTTTCAGCTACTGGATCGTAGCTGGCATCACTTGTGCAGTTTCTCCCTTATATAAAGTAAGTCTCTTGATAACTTGAGTTAGTTGAAATGATGAGTAGACTTTGTGATTACATGTGTGTGAACCTTGTTACGAGTTTATTATTAAAACATATGTACACAACTTCAATAAGAGAACCACATTCAAATAACCTAATGCATTTTTATAAAAAAGGCACTTGGTGCTCGGCAAGACTAGATGATGCCAAGTTGCAGGAGCCAGTGATTTTAATAACTCAAGATAAAAAAACCAAATGCCCCAAAGCAGCACTAGTTCACATTATAATTTGCACATGGGTATGATATTTAATTGAGTGTTACATACTGCGCCACCTTTATCGTTTACAAAACATATCACTCAGTACACTGTGCAGGCATCTGAATTCGAATGTTTTTGGTTTTATATGATTGAATTGGTTGTCTTACCTTTGAGCATCTTGATTGCAGATGGGGTTTTCTTCCCACCTATTTTCAAAGTTCCTTTCTTGACTTCTCCAAAGTTGCCTCTGCCGAGTACCTGTTCCCCAACAACGAGATTGCTCCACAGTATCTCCCACTTGGCAGCCCAATTGGGGTGGCCCATAACTTCATATACCGGGGAATCAACACCCACTGGTCGCATCCAGACATCAACACCTGCGAGTTCCTGTTAAAAAAAACCATATGATTCAATGCAGACAAAACGGTTTTCACTAGACTCAATAGATGGCTGAGTAGCAACAACTGCAATGCAAACTTTCCTGTCCAACTTTCACTACTGCGCAAATTGGCTTCATGTGCTCTACGCGCAAACAATATAGGGCGCTACCCATCATCATCATCCCCATCATCATCATCATCATCATCATTCTCCATATCCATCATGCATGGGGGACGTTGAGCCGCCCAGACCAGGCGATCAGATGCAGACTGCCACAGCTGATGTGCACGTGTCTTGTGGTCAACTTCTAGCTGGCGCACACAGGTGTTGCGACGTCGGCCACTGGGTCTCTTCCAGGCAGTGTCAGGCTGGATTCCCCCTAGTGCGTCGACACTCAGCTTTAGAGCGGCATGGAATGACGCCTCCGTATTAGATGGTAGCACGGGTATCCTCGAGACCGGTGGTCCCCATGATAGTGGTGTTGGTGACAAAGTCGGACCACCGGACACTAAGGATGCGCCGTTGGCACCTCATATTGAAGGCTTGAAGCCTTCGCCCATCCTCAGTGAGGAACGTCCACGTCTCCGATCCATATAGTAGTACGGGGAGGACACAAGTCGTGTATATCCTCAGCTTGGTTGAAATGTTAAAGCGTTTGTTCTGCCACACCCGATCCAGTTAGCCAAAGGTTGACGAAGCGAGGCATATTTCGTCACCGTTTTCACGAAGAGCCACATATGTGGATTTTGAAGAAAAGGCGTTTTCGAGATAATCGCAAAAGAAGTTTCTCATATTTTTAAACTGCAAAAAATAACACTTTGCAACAACTTTGTGCAGCAAGAAAACCATCACACGATTCTACGAGAGCTGAAGTTGTACATGAACCCGGTAATAAGACTTAATACAGCAGTTAATTAGTGAAAATTAATTAATAAAGATATGTGGCTCTTCGTGAAAACGCAAATTCAGGTTTCCGAGATATTGGCCCTTTCTGTTCAACGTGTATTTCCATAGGCGCGCGCGCTCACGCGCGCGCGCAGCTGAAATGTAACAAAGATATGAGGCTCTTCGTGAAAACGCAAATCTCATTTTCTCTACTTTTACGTATTTCCGTGCAATGGGTTTTGTACGCGTTCAAAGGGCCAAAATGTATGTGGCTCTTCGTGAAAACGCAAAATGCATTTATCGAGATTTTTTTCCCTTGCAACATTAATGTAACTTAGAAATTAATGATGTTTTGCTTTCAGAAACACGTCAAAATGGTTAAGTACATTGTTTCAATGCCAAATAATGAAAAAAATCAAAATCGAAAAAATTGTAATTTTTGACATATGTGGCTCTTCGTGAAAACGGTGACGATTTGTAGGAGGATGTCGATGAGTAGCCCTAGCAGCTGATGTCGCAGCCAAGATACAACACTCTCGTAGCCTGTACGCTCTTTCTCGCTGACAACATTCAGGTCTCTAATGACTAGAAGTTGGTCTTGGGAAGGAGTAGAGTGGATGAGTGGTTCCAGTTGGTTATAAAAATCATCTTGTCGGCAACAGAGGCTAACTCAGTCGGTGCATAGACCACGATGATGGTAATGTGACCATATGTCTTTGGCGGAGCCGTGTGTGGAAGATCCGTTTTGAGACTGGAGTCTATTGAACAAGGGATTGGCTAACCTTATTGTTAAGGAGCAAGGCAACTCCCTTCGTGCGGCCTGCACTACCTGAATGATACATCGTATACTGGTCGACACGACGTTCACCGCTTCCTGGGATGCGAGCTTCGGTGAGGCCAGCTATACTTATCCGGTATTCCAGGTAGTGACAAAGGGGCAGGATATTAGGTCCAGTTTGGGTCCCGTTTGGGAACCTGCAGTCAGTCTGGCTCCGTCCCCTACGGAGCTTGAGGTGTCAGACGTCATTGAATCACGACGAGGTGGAGTGCGTTGTGATGTGGTTCCTTGTGCGGGGCCAGGGTAAGCAGGGACTTTAACCCTGGTGTAACTTTGGTGTACTTTTATCGTTTGGTATGGGTGGTGCCCCTTCATACTCCACCTCCGTGGGACTGGGGAGACGTGGAGCAGTGGTGGGGGACCAATTCTGGATGATCTGAGTGCCTCGCACGTTGTGTCTGATGGACCGTTGGGCTATGATAAGGACCTCATCCGCTTCATCAGCATTATCACGGCTGCTGCCCCTCATCCGCTTCATCAGCATTATCACGGCTGCTGCCCCATGCCTTCACCAGATTCGGAGTAGTACAGCCTTTTTTAACCCCAAAATTCATTTACTGTATGTAAATCTATGTAAATGTGCTGAGCGCGTATATATAGCCGCATTAAACGCGCGTTGCGTGGTTACGCGCGCCGTCATCAAACGGTTTGTACATACTTTTTTTTTTCAAAATCACAGTTATACGCGCACGACTGGCGGTCTATGGGTTTAAAAGGCTGTGTTAGGAACTACCTAAGTGGGTAGGCCTACTTACTTGCGCACGAAGTCGATAACATGCCCAACCAAGACAATTACACAAACAACAGAAATATATTCCCTTGTCCCGGCACTATAAGAAAAGGATCTTTCCAGCAATTTACCTATCGCGGTAGAATCTCGTTGGAATCGCGTCAACGCAGCTTGTGATAATGGTCTAATTACAAGATTTACAAGTGGACGCGGAACGCGCAAAATCTGAGACAAACAAAACTTAGTGTACAATAACTAAATAGGGTTGTCTAAGGTGCGTGAATAACTCGCAAATGGCGATAGGTCAATACTAGCCTTACCATTGCGATGGTTAATTTAGTCAAACAATTCAAGTTTCTATAGACTGTCCCTTTAATGCCTAAACTTTAAAGTTATGTCTTGTTTTGGGTAGAGTGATTTCATTGATCTAGAACATCCACGTGTCTAGTCTATAAACATGTTTTCTTCATGTACACTGCGTTGGATGGACATTACCTCATATACACTAGATTTTAAAGAATGACCCATGTGCTTGTTGTAAACAGTTTCAGTAATTTGGCATTCAATTTTGAAAATCCAGACATTTGGGTAAGTTGTCCACAGACGGAAAACTCACCATTACATCAGCAGGAGGTTGAACAGCCTCATCCATATTGCGTCTTCTTCGTTTGACTCTTCTCCACACCGCATAAACAATGACTGAAGCAACAATAACAACCAGTAGTGTACTTAACACGCCTATAACAACTACCAGAATGGTGTTGGCATCTCCATTTACCGAAGCAGCTGTGGAAACATGAAAGATTGATTTCCTGTTCGAATGAGATGATAATTCACTCTGTCCTTAATGGTAGCACTTAACGTAGATTAAGGCAGTGTGTACTGTATGAGATTCGTAGCCTTTCATTTCCTATATTAACAAAACATGGAGACTGCCACAACAATCTGACCGATTATGTAGAAGAGCACAAGTGCAGTACTATGGTTAAATTCTTTGGGTTTCTTTGCTTCCATTATTTGAGTTCACCTGCAATTGCCAAGCATGCATGCTAAAGTTTACATGAACTGTTTTCTCTTCCACACATTTGTTTATAGAGAGATACACCTACCCAGGTGTTGGAGGCATGAGTATACCTCACAAGGACCTACATGCCGATAGCCGGCGACATGATACTTGAGCACCAAACTGTTGGGATAAGGTCGGAGCTGAGGTTCTTTTCTCGTTTATCACCTCCACTTTTAACGTCCCTGATCAGATAATCAGGGCTCTGGTCTTCCTGACATTTTTCAGGGTCAAAATGGACACTAACCGATTCAAAATGACACTTTTGACAGCGTCATTTAGACATTGAAAGTGTCAGTCCAAATACGACGCGGATTCTAGGTCCCTTTGACTAGGGACGTGTAAGAAGCCCGGGGTTTGATTCCTGCCCCTAGTCCACATCTGGATTGGATTATCTGTCAAAACCTGATTCCGTTGCCCCAATGTATTCGTCTGGGTTTTGTTTGTGTCACAGTCGTCTCCAGTTTATCCAGCAGCACATGTACACGTTAAGGTATCAAGACCAACCATAGGAACTTGATTTCTATACCAAACATAAATATTAATAATTCCCATTGTGATTGACAGTCAACTCAAGCAAACTTGATAGTGCCTCATAGATTAGGAGTCCAACAACACAAAACAGGACAATGTGTACTACACTTGTGATCTTTCCATGCAAATAAATTGTTGGACTTACTTGTGCCACAGTCGTCTCCGGTATATCCAGCAGCACATGTACATGCGAAGCTATCAAGACCATCCACACAAGTTCCTCCATTCAAACAAGCGTTGGGTATGCAGTCAGCAATATCTAACAAGCAAACATGTTTTTACAATGATAAGCATTAACGAAGTTAACTTACTCTGAAATTTGAATCAACTTGGACTTGGTAATGAATGGATTTTTTTAACGACCGGGGATCAGTGTGGTGCTTGTAAAAAAGGTACAATGGTGCCCCGAAAGTCGGTCTTTGGATGGCGCTTCCCAACAAGGGAAATTCTAAAATTGATGGATGAATGGAGAACACATTGAGTACCCTGTGGGTCTTCTCCAGCATACTTGTATGGGGTTTCTCGCTCCTTCAAAACAAAATAGTTTCTTCAGGATTGTGAGCTTTAGTGCCCAGGGCAATTATTATGAATTGTTGTTTTCAATACCAGACAGAACCCCAACCCCCAGTAATAATCACTATTGAGATTGACATGGTTCCAAGCAGATAGTGTTGATAATAGGTAAAGAATACAACAACCCAAAACATGACAATGCCCACAATGTCGACTGTGTCTCTTCTATTTTGGACTTACTTGTGTCACAGTCACCTCCAGTATATCCAGTAGCACATGTACAAGTGAATCTATCAAGACCATCCTTACAAGTTCCTCCATTCAAACAAGGATTGAGTATGCAGTCATCAATGTCTACAAAGCAAACAGAACATGTTTTTCTTAAATTAGAATTGACGAAATAAACCGACGGTGACGTTTCAATCGACAGGGAATTAAAGAAAGGTTATTAATTTTTATTTTGTTTCTTACGAGAGGTCACCTATGGGGTAAAAAGTAGAGCGGTGTGAGTGCTCCAGGCGCTTTCCCAAATATTATGTCTGGGGTTTTCTCCCACAAACAAACAGTAAAGTTTTGTTTTTTGTGTTGCGAGTTTCAGTGCCTGGGCAATCTGGTGTCCAGAGGAATTTTGGTTTCAATACAAAATAGAAACAAAATTGTTTCTTCAGGCTTGTGAGGTTTAGTGCCGAGGGCAATTATTATGAATTGTTGTTTGCAATACCAGACAGAATCCCCACCCCCAGTAATTATCACCCACCCCCAGTAATTAGTTCACCAAAAAGTAGAGCGGTGTGAGTGCTCCAGGCGTTTTCCCAACGAATTCGTCTGGGGTTTTCTCCCACAAAGTTTTTTTTTTGTGTTGCGAGTTTCAGTGCCCTGGGCATCCTGGTGTCCAGAGGAATTATGGTTTCAATCCCAGAAAAAAAATATAATAAAAACTGTGATATGGTGTCGTAGGGAGGACATTCCCATAAACTATAGTAAACACATAATCCCAAGTTTAATTAATTGACGCATTTGATACCTGATGACGTTGTTCAAGAGTTAGAAGTTAAGTTGGTCATTTTTCCAAGCAAAATCACCTGTAATTTGATACCTGATGACGTCCTCATGACGTCAGAGCCATGTGGACACCCCTGGTTCAGTGTAAACGTTGTGGCAAAGTTACAAGTTTATGCCATAAACTTTTTAGAAAAAAATCGAGGAGAAGTACTGTTTGAAAAACAGAAAAAGAAGTGTTGTGTTCGTGCGTCAATAATACCCGATTGAGGGGAGACAGAGATTAGTCTTGTTGCATCGTATTGTACTCACGTCCATTCGCACTAGAGTGCACACGTAATAGAATGCATAAGCGATCAACGAATGACGTCACACACTGTTTGTGCTATAAATAGATCACTGCAGTCTACATACATTACAATAAGAAAGACAGAAAGAAGATTTCTTCCATGATTTTAAAACGGTGATCGGGTTGTGCAGTGGAGGGCTCCATATATGCACTAGTATAATGTTTAAAACTACCACATAGATCGAGTCACTGCTTAGTGTCATGGATACTGCATGGGAATACAAATCCGATGGTGTGAGTTCGATTCCCAGTAATGCTTTTTTTTAATTTCTTCTTCTTTCCTTCTTTTGTTTCTCTTTAAACCCCTCCGAGCAGCTTATCAAAAAAAAATCACACCGTGGAACCACGTGGAGAATTTTATCACCACATGTGTTTATAGGTCAATAACCCTGGCATGCCTGTACATGCACAAGATATAGGTCATTCACATGGCCATGAATTGTTTACAACCTGTCTGAGCTCCTGGCGGCACGAGGGGTTGACACAAAGGGGTCGGCGCCACTAAGATCTCCCATTACTGCACAAAGACATTGGGCCCTGTCTTTGCTTCTGTCTTTCGACACTCCTTTCTCCGGAGTGGGCAGGGTCTGGCCAATGGGAGTCTACAGGCTTGTGGTGTATAGTAGGGGTGAGGATTACATGAAAGCTTGGCCCATTGAAAAAAAGTTATGCCCATTTTGGGAAAATGTGGAGAATTAAATCACCACTTCGCTGCTCGGAGGGTTAAAAAGGTTTGTTTGTGTCATTCAGTCCCTGAGAAACTTGAAGAACACACACTTCTGTACTGGTCTGATGTGCTGCCTTGGAAACAAGTTCCCAAATTGTGACATACAGAGATATCCATTTACCGATTACCAGGACAACACAATGTCAAGTGGAAAAATAAAAAAAAAATAAAAAAATTACTGCATTCATCAAAAATAGCAAAGACAAAACTCTTCCGTTTGTAAAAAAAAAAAGTGATTATTTTTCTTATTGTACAGAAACACAAACAATGTTTAAAAAGAGGTCATTTACCTGATGTGTTTTGACATTGAGTTCCTGTGAAGCCTGTTGAACACATACAGAAGAACCCGCCTGATGTGCTGCCTTGGAAACAAGTTCCCCCATTCTGACATGGTGATGGTTGGCATGGATCTACAATTGATAAGTAAATAAAATACTTTCCTTTTGAAGCTACATCACAGTAATTTACAATTATTATTGTGTTTTGACATTTGGTCCCCGTGAAGCCTGTTGGAATGGACAAACATAATTATATGCGTTTGATGCATTTGAATAAAAAAATAGAATACCGATCATAGTCAAAATCTCCTTACAATATCTTCCGGTCCGTTTAAAAAGCAACGTACATGTAGGCCTACTCACAAGTTACAAATGGGCAAGCCAGCAGGAAAACACCCAGGACCCCGTAGTGGTCAATCTCTGTCACATCCCTGACACTGGATGAGACAGCCCTTCCACCTCGTTGTTTCTCATTCTGCCCTACACTCCACCCCCCCCCCTCCCCATTCCACCAAACCACTGGAAACACAAGCCTCCATCAATGAATTAAGAAGACGCCGTAATACAAGGTCCCTGCCATTAGTGTTCATTCGTTTTGAACGTACGCAAGACGGGCATTTACGTTTCAGCCAATGGAGAGCTTTGCTTGCCACGCTCCACCCACAATTACCGCCCACCGTGACCGTCCACAGCCTTACTTTTATTATTCAAATTGTTTGCTGCACGAAAGAGGATTCCAACTCGTTGAGCTGTACAAAAATCTAAATAACAAACGAGGATCTCTTACAAAGAAAGCTGTCTGACACAATACCTGCTGAATCTCTCTATCGAAGCAATTTTGCAAGTACATGTACATTGTACATGATGTGTTTTGAACAAAATCTAGTCGGTAAAGCAAACAGATTACGCACGTAATTAGTTTAGTGCAGGTATATGAATTCAAACTGCAAGGAGTCCTCTCAGCATTTAAGCCTACTGTACATACTGCCTTTAGTCATGGATCCCGTGGCCACAATCATGTTCCTTTCTATGTTATTACTTTCTGTTATTGATAAGTGTACCCCCTGTTGAGTTTTTTCTCGACGAAGAGCTGGCTTTTCTTTGGAATTATTTCAACACTCTGTTTATGGGTTTTCTCTGCACGGGCATATTTTGTTTGCCTGCACCTTTACCAAGATTGCGCTACAATAGAAACTATTCTGAAGGCTTACGTAGGGTACAGCATACAGTCAGTATTCAGATTAACAATACACTTGGAATGTAAGGAAAGAAAAGGGCTAAGGCAGAGTACGAGTGCTATAGACACCATTATAAAGGCTTACGTAGGGTACAGTCAGTATTCAGATTAACAATACACTTGAAACGCAAGGAAAGAATAAGGCTAAGGCAGGGTACGGGCGCTACAATAGACACTATTATAAGGGCTTACGTAGGGTACAGTCAGTATTCAGATTAACAATACACTTGGAACGTAAGGAAAGAATAAGGCTAAGGCAGGGTACGAGCGCTACAATAGAAACTATGTAGGATTAAAAAGGCTTACGTAGGGAACAGTCAGTATTCAGATTAATAATACACTCGGAACGCAAGGAAATAATAAGGCTAAGGCAGGGTACGAGCGCTACTTAGAAAAACAATAAAAAAGGTACATAGGATTATAAATGTTACGCAGGGTACAGTTAGTATTCAGATTAACAAGACATATACATTTGTATGCCTGTTAAAGCTAAAGGCCACGTACCTTCGGGTACTGTCACTCTGAAAGCAAGACGAAAGTGAGGCACGAAATGGGGGACGTTCGACAAATGTGCCCGTGTGAATATCAATGATGAGGAGAGGGCACCTGTTTTAAATGCATATCGCCATAAGTTTTATTAACAAAGAAGAGGTTTATGGAGTAAATCATTAGTTTATAGAGTCACAAATGTTTAACGACGCTGAAAAAAAAGTTTGGCTCATTACGTTTAAAATTAACCTTAACTGAATCTCCAATAAAAAGAAATATTTGTATGTACCGTATTTTTATCATATTCTTTTCATAACTAAAAACGAATAAAACTGCTTCAAACTGTTTAAAGAGTACATTGACCTGAAACTACAATCAACAAACTAAGCTGACCCATGTTTCGGCAAGTCCTTCAAATTTTTATTTATAATTATTTATTTATAATACATGTGATATAATCGATAACAAGTCTTTTATTTTGTTAATTTCAGTTTTTATTTATCGGAGATTATACGATAGATTTTCAAAGAAACAGAGATTTGTTTGTGTTTACTTTTATTGACAGGAAAAAGGGTTGACAAACTTTGTCGAAAGATTTCAACATGAGTTTGAGTTGTACGTGCACTATAGTATCCTATACACGTATACGCGTACATGTACAACATTTCCAGTGCTTTTCTTCATCACGTCATATGTCGCCTATAGGTACAGCACTATACAACTCCACTTTATGGTTCCCGATCCTGCCACTTAGAATGTTCTTTTGTTATGTTGAAATTTGTACCGCTCAACGACTTGGAATCCTCTTGCATTGTTATCGTGATTAAAAGAAGCAGCGAACAATTTGAATAATAAAAGTAAGGCAGTGGACGGTCACGGTGGGCGGTAACTGTGGGTGGAGCGTGGCAAGCAAAGCTTTTCATTGGCTGAGACGTAAATGCCCGTCCTGCGTACGTTCAAAACGAATGAACACTATTGAGACATTCATCCATTGGCTGCATCAGTATAGACATTTTTAGTCAACTTGTCCGTAGTACCTATGATAGCCTCCCCAATAACGAAGGCGAGGCCCATGGCCCTCAGAGACATCCGTCAAAGAACTGACATTGCAATCAAGCAAGCTGATAAGGGTTCGGCTGTAGTAGTAATGGACAAAACCTGGTATATAAATGAGGCTAATTCGACAACTTGACGGCTACAACTTTTATATAAAAAAACCTCCAATCCAATCCCACTCCTAAACACAGTGGAAAGGACATTTATTTGCCTTTGCACCCTCGCCTCCTTACTAAAGTGCGTTCCACAGCAAACAAATGCGACGAGTTTTGCAACAACAAATGGAACTTGCCAATGAGTAATTCATGCTCTGCCCATGTGCGTTTGTAAATAATTATACATGAACAAACTGCGCTTGTTACTTTTGGGGAGTATGCCACATAGAACCGTTTATTAGTTGTTTCTGTACAAAGTCAACACCAGCCTTACTCTCAGGGTTAAATACTGGGGGAGGATCGGAAGGGAATCGGGTTGGGCAATCAGTTCACCCCTCCCACCCCTTTTTTTTAATAAGCAAAAAACGCAAAACTTGAGGTTTTTTCTAACTTCCCAGCAACCCAAATATACAGTGTGAGTATAAAAAACTATACACTTTTAAGATTGGCCATATTTTAATTTCTGCAGTAATATAGATAAGATATTTTCATATGTACTTTTAGGGTAAGTCTTATTGCTTCTTTCGGTGACATTTTCACTGGATTAGTTTTTATGCATGACTGCACAGGAGACAATTAAATTACCATAGCATTTCCGGTAACACCGGAAGTGAATGTAACACGGCCTTTTTGTGCCAGGGAATCCAAAATATTGTCTGTGGCAATATCTACCTGAGTACAAAAAATTCATTTGAAAAGTTATAGTTTAAGCTATGTTATTTTTATTTCTAAATTAATAATCTATCGGATTGCAAAGTATGAACATGATGTTGTTCAACAGTTACAGATAGTTGTTCATAAGTTAAAGAAGTTGGTCATGATTTTGTCATTCACTCAATGTGAAACCTGGAGCACACACACTTCTGTTCTTGTCTGATGTGCGGCCTTGGAAACAAGTTCCAAAATTGTGACATACAGGAATATCCATTTACCGATTACCAGGACAGCACAATGTCAAGTGGGAAAATAAAAAAAAAATACTAAAAAACTAGTGCATTCATAAAAAAAATAGCAAAGAAAAAACTCTTCCTTTTGCCCAAAAAAATTGTTATTTTTCTTATTCTACATAAACACAAACAATTTTTAAAAAGAGGTTATTTACCAGTCATGCTTTGACATTCAGCTCCTGTGAAGCCTGTTAAACACATACATAAGGACGCTCCTGACATGCTGCCTGTGAAACAAGTTCCCCCATTCTGACATGGTGATGGTTGGCATGAATCTACAAATGATTGGTAGAAAAATTACTTTCCTTTTGAAGCTACATCACAGTAATTTACAATTATTATTGTGTTATAAGTTAGGGAAGTTGGTCATTTTGTCATTCACTCCATGTGAAACCTGAAGCAGAAACACTTCTGTACTGGTCTGGTGTGCGGCCTGGGAAACAAGTTCACAAATTGTGACATACAGGGATATCCACTTACCGATTACCAGGACAGCACAATGTCAAGTGGAAAAATTAAAAAAAAAATACTAAAAAAACTACTGCATTCATAAAAAAAAATAGCAAAGAAAAAACTCTTCCCTTTGCAAAAAAAAAGTTATTATTTTTCTTATTCTACAGAAACACAAACAATTTTTTAAAAGAGGTTAATTACCAGTTATGTTTTGACATTGAGTTCCTGTGAAGCCTGTTGGACACACACAGAAGAACCCGCCTGTGCTGCCTGGGAAACAAGTTCCCCCATTCTGACATGGTGATGGTTGGCATGAATCTACGATTGATAAGTAAATAAAATACTTTCCTATTGAAGCTACATCACAGTAATTTACAATTATTATTGTGTTTTGACATTTGGTCCCCGTGACGCTTGTTGGAATGGACAAACATATACGTTTGATGCATTTGAATAAAAAAATAGAATACTGATCATAGTCAAAATCTCCTTACAATATCTTCCGGTCCGTTTAAAAAGCAACGTACATGTAGGCCTACTAACAAGTTACAAATGGGCAAGCCAGAAGGAAAACACCCAGGACCCCGTAGTGGTCAATCTCTGTCACATCCCTGACACCGAATGAGACAGCCCTTCCATCTCGTGGTTTCTCATTCTGCCCTACACTCCCCCCCCCTTCCCCTAAACCACTGGAAACACAAGCCTCCATCAATGAATTAAGAAGACGCCGTAATACAGGGTCCCTGCCATTGAGGCATTCATCCATTGACTGCATTCAGTACAGACATTTTTAGTAAACTTTTCAGTAATACCTATGAAAGCCTCCCCAATAACGAACGCGAGACCCTGGCCCTCAGAGACATCCGTCAAAGAACTGACATTGCAATCAAGCAAGCTGATAAGGGTTCGGCTGTAGTAGTATTGGACAAAACCTGGTATATAAACGAGGCTGATTCGACAACTTGACGACTACAACTTCTATAAATAAAAAAAACACCTCCAATCCAATCCCACTCCCAAACACAGTGGAAAGGACATTTATTTGCAAACAAATGCGACGAGTTTTGCCACAACAAATGGATCTTGCCAATGAGTAATTCATGCTGTGCCCATGTGCGTTTGTAAATAATTATACATGAGCAAACTGCGCTTGTACGTTTGGGGAGTATGCCATATGGAACCGTTTATTAATTGTT